ATTAGATGATCTTTAAGGTCCCTTCCAACCCAAACCATGCTAGGATTCGTACAAAGGAAAACTAAAAAAAAAAATGTATATATGTTAAAATATCTTTCTGAATAAGGTGCTCAGAGCTCTATAAGCTTTTTCCCTTTTACCCTAGCAAATACTTCTCAATCTATAAAAATAAATACTAAGTAGAAGTGGGTCAAATAACAAAATTGTAAACTACTTGGGCAAATTCATCTTTGCTCTATATTGAACTATAGTGGGAGGGTAGCAGTTATACTCTAGTAAGCCTTCTGGGGTTTGCTGGTGCAGTTTCCAAGCAAGACAGCAGTAAAAGCAAAATATCTGAAAGTTGTGACCAATTCCCAGAAAACTGAAATAAAATTTTGCCCTTCAGTTAGCAATAGCTGGTTACTACCAAAAGTTTAATAAACCACATTTTTTGTCAAATAGCTTACTGTTTCTGGGGGATTTTGAAAAGGTGGAATTTGGAGTTTGCTTGGATATTTTTGTATTCCCTTTTTTTGCCTCTCCAGGAAAAAAAAGGAGATGATCACGCTATGATTCAGTGTTCTGGTTAATGGGAAAAATTCCCTTTACTGCTGCCTGCTAAACAGTGTTGAATTAAACTTATTTTACTAGTTCCCTATCCTGCCTTAGTCCCCGTTCTGCATTCCATTTCGTAGAGTGTTTTGAACAAGTGTACTATTTTCCACAATTTCTCAATGGTTCTCCTTAGAAAGTCCAAGTCCTCAGAAATTCAGGAAAATAAATCAGAAAAAAATATATTTTTTCCAGTGCAAAGTTTTTCAGTTCAAAAATATTGTTCCCCTTTTCTTATCAGAACAAAATAGATAAGAAAATGGTCATTTAAAGTCTAGACTTTAAAACCAACTGGACTGGTGTTAATATTGAGGCTGTATGCAGTGCTAGGGAGTATGCAGAATTACATTTGTATATATTGAGTAGTTACAGTTTGGAATGGTGACAGAAGATATTTCAGTAATGCACTAATATATTGTAAGCCTCCAAAACAACCAACCAAGCAAAAGAGCAGGAGGTACAAGGAAAGACACAAAATTCTCTAACCCCTCTGTTTATTTGGGTTAGTTATGACAACTTGAAGGCTTTGGTAAGCTATGCAGTAAAGAAAAAGCAGCTTGTGCTTGCAAAATCTTTTTCCCCCCAACAAGAAGCAAAACATTTTTGTTATTCCACCTGCAGTAGTTTGATTTAAACAATTTGTTGTGGTTTATTTTGTTTGGGTTTTTTTTTTTTTAAACACTGATTTCAGTGAAGTGGTAATATTCTTAAAATATTCTAGAAGGCAACTCTTGTTTTGTCCATTAGCAACTTCTCGAGCATAAAATGGACTTAGGAGTCCATTTTTTAAAAATGAATGATGCACATATATGATTCCCAATGTGAGAATGAATACCTACTAGAACTGCTGCCTAAAACCACAGTCAGCATTTTATTTTAACAAAGCAAAAAAGACTAAATACCTACTGCGAGCACATGGAATCTCAATAGCAAATTTAAGTTACCATGAAAGAATAAGAAGCACCTTGTTGAGGATAACAGACTAGAAAAACTTTCTAACCTATGAGTTCTTTTGACTCAGAACAGCAGTCAACCATGTGCCTATGTCTTGTCAAATAAAACTTTAAAACATGAGCATCAAGGCTGCCCTGGACACTTTGCTGAACTAAGGCCAAGCCTGATTTTAATTCCTCTGGTCTTCATAGTATTTTCTTTATTCTCATGTATCAGTAGCAATACCATTTAACAATGCTAATATCAAATAGGACATATCCTGGTACCTTAGCCCATACCAATACTGCATTTGCAGTTCTCTGAGGTACCTTACAAATGAGGGCAATTGACAGAGCTCTTTGTATGAGTAACATTCAATGTGCACCTGAGTAATCCAGTCAGAGTAATTCAGACTAGAAGGGCCCTCTGTAGGTCACCTACTCCATCCATTCTCCGAAGTTAGATCAAGTTCCAAAGTCAGATCAGTTTGCTCATGACATTGTCCAGTTTTGAGTACCTGGAGTATTTTCATCTCCATCTTTTGATAGAGAATACCCAAATATCTCCATCCCTTGAATAGAAAAATGCACTCTTTTTTAAAAAAAAAAACTTAACACTATCAATATAAAACAATTTTTATGTTTGGCAGGGCTTTTTTAAATTTTCTTTTTGTTACATATGCTGAGGTAGCCTGGAGATTTGGTTATAATCCAGCTCAATGGTGAAAAGCAAATCTGACTTTCATTCAGACAGCTTAGTCAAAGAATAAATATTTAAAAGCAACTGAAATGGTATGCTCAAAATAAACACTTTAGTTCCTCAAGTCTTAGTTTCTTTTCACTTTGACAACAGCCAAAAAACCAAGACACCTTGTATTTTTCCTTGTAATTTGATCAATACTCTAAGAGCAGTTTCACCAGAAACATGGTGTGAAATCCGCATATTGCTTACCAACAAGGTAAATGACTCTTCTTTCATGACCAGCTCACTGCATGTCTTTGTTCCCCCCCATTTTATGTTCCTATTTAAAAACCTCACAACCGTGTAGACAGTGAATGCGTACTAGGAAATACAAGACTGCCACAGTATCATGGCTAAGCAACACAGTAAGTTCAACCTTTTAGCTGAAGCAGTCTTTCATGTGGAAGAAAAACAAAATCACTCTATCATAGGGTCTATGAATCACAAGACATACTGATTGCATAGGCTAACATCTGATTTACCACATGAGGTTCTAGAAAACCTTCCAAAAAAACATAAGAGGGCTTTAAAAATACCACCACCACTTTCCAAAATTGTCAGTCAAGTCAACTCTACCATCAGAATAGTTCAATAATCTCTTAAAGATTAAAGAAAGCTTAAACTTCCCCTTACTTCCTGAAGGGTAGACTGAGCCCTAAAAGATGACCAACACAGATGCCACTGTTTATACAGCAATACATCTCCAAGAGGAACAGGAGTCTGTTCTCTCAAGGGATGCAGACTGCACCTCCAGTGTCCTTTAGACCAGGACGAAACTGCAGGGCAGGAGGCAGCTCTGTCTAATTAGCACTCTACAGAGCTGGGTGCAGTTGCCATCTAGGTAATGGCCTAGGCTGCATGAACCCACCCCAAAGCAATAGTAACCCACACAAAATAGGAATGCTCCTGGAATTAACTTCACATGTTCCTCAAAAAGCAGGTTCTTCTTTTAACTGCGGGTAAGAGTTTAGACATTTCTCATGGGTGTATGATGGTTTAACTTCGTATACAACTGGACTGGTGAACAGGAAGCACTGGTAGCTCATTCAGATTATAGACAATTCTGCAAGCAGCTGTATTAAAATTTTTTCAGTGGGACCTATAATTCATCTTCATTAACTAATGCTTTATCTTCCTCTGAAGTGAGTACACTTTTTGTATAATTTCACCAATAACTCTAGAAAAATCTTACTATCAGAAAACTCATTTCTTTAACTCCATTGAAAACAGTGTTATCTATAGGGCATACACAGAAAACGCAGATGTGAGAAGTCACACATTTGATATGCCTGAGGTTTATCTGTAAATGCCACTAGACTCTGCTTAGATTAGATTTACAATAATCCTTGATTGAAAAGATTCCCAGAACCACATTAAGCTAAAATTTTGAAATGCCCTTTGCACTGGCAGAACCAGCATCTGATTACCAAAATTTTTGGTGTCTTGCCAAAGTCCTCTGTCAGAGCATTTATACCCAAAGGACCATGACAACATGTCATGGGTTAATTGGCTGGCATGACCATGCCCTGGAGAGGTAGGCGCATTGATCACTAAGGCTTCCAGAACCTGCTAACCTTGATGAGTGTCTCCAGGCTGAAGATCTATTCATTTTATCCATCTGTGTTTTGCCGAATCAGTGATTTTTACTTTTGAGGCATTTTTGATGTATGTGCCTGAGCTCTTTAAATCTAACCTAGTGTCAGAGAACAGTCTGAGCTCTGCTCAGTTCCCATGTCCTCAGTTGTACTCATACTCTTCAGCTCTTTCTGCTACAATCAGACAATTCATTCAATCTCTGAAATGTCATCTATGTGCCCATTTCTTATCTTTAATATGGAATTCTGTAATTGTTATTTTTTAAGACCAAAGCTTGTAAAGTGCAACTAAACAAGGAGACAAGCACAGGTGGATTTGACAACTACTGTATATACAAGAGAAGCCACAGTTCTCTTGCATAGGCACAAGAAATGAGTGATATCCAAACCAGCTGAATCAGAATAATAGATCTGTCTTAATTTTGTTTAATTTAATAGGCAAAATAAAAGGTTTCAAAGATCAGATCTGTTCAGTTTAAAGTTGTATTATAATGAGTTTCTCTAAAGGTAATTAGTGAGACCAGAAGAAACCCCCAAGAGTATTCTCCTCCGCATTGCGCTGAGAGGAAAACAAGACATATACTGAGCAACTGTACCTCTAATCAGAGTTCCTGCTCTATACAGTGACACACAGAAAACTTCTTTGTTGTCAGACCCTCCAGTTTTGTTCTAAGATGTATACCTAAAGGACACAAATTCCTGTGAAGAGGATCAGCAGTCACAAGCTGTATAGTCTCCAGAAACTCATTTCACAGAACTGTCAAAGGACAGGAAATGGCTGCAGCCAAAATAACAATCAGCATTTACAGAACCCATTAGTCAGTTACCTTTATTGTCGCTTAAAATGGAGCCAAAGGCACTGATCACAACATCAGCTTTCAGACGAACCACCTGATCCTCATCTTCTTTCCAGCTTCCATCATTGCTTTGTTCAGTTCTAACAAACTCCATAGCAACAATTCGTCCACCTCTAAGAACAACTTTCCGAGGGGAGAGGAAAGGCAGAAATTCACATTTCTCTTCTTTTGCAAGTTCCATCTGTAGAACAGAAACAATAAAATATATAACTTGAACATTGTGATGCTTTTATTAAAAAAAATATCTATTTTTTTTGACTCAAGATGCCACCAGGCATTCTTCTCTAGTAGAAGGCACCTGTGTACAGTACACAGTCATTTTCATACCAACGTCTCCTGCGCTATTAAATCAAGCAGTTCTAGAGAGTGGCACTAGGTAAATTTGCAATGCAAATATTTATTTCTCCAATATATATTCTTATTTTTCCCTGTTACTTTGAATATGTATAACTCCTCCGAAGGCAAAAGAGTAACCTTATGTAGTTATCTCTGTCTTTTAAGTAGAGGCCCAATATTAGTTAAGAACACACCCTGTTTTGTGTTTACTATGATTTTAAGATATAATTAAATGCTGATTACCATGTGCAAACACAAGTTTTCTTAGTGATAAATCAGACTTAAGATCTTCTGAATCTCTGCTGTGGTAAAACTGCATAAGTCAAATAGCATTTCCTTTTAGAAAAGTTCAGGACCTGGTTGTCTGTGTTTACACAACTACTTTTTTGAACATGTAATGTCCAACCTGGTATTATTCTAGCATGGGTGTTACCAGGTGAAGCTACTTTTATTTTAGTTTTTTCAAGGTCCCTACATGATTGGATAAGAACAAACCTTGGCAGCTTTTAGGAATTTACCCAGGCTTCTAACAAAGCTTTTGGTTTAGAGTGACAGCTGATTCTTGATTAGTAAGCATCTGAATAACACATGAGTTTGACTGTGCAATGGCTTCAGTAGTCTCAGTGTATCTATGATTCTTAAATGAAGTGCAACAGAAGTTAATTAGGCATCAAAAGACCCTCTATTATTTTTTTTTGCACCTCCATTCTCCTTCTATAAAGAGCTCCAAGATGCCCACCTTCTCAAAACAGATGACCAGACTACCACAAATCTCATAATAAAGATGCATTACATGTCCTGATATCCTCAAGTATACAGAAGTGCAAAGTATGCACTAAATAAGTTATAATAGCAAAAGACCACCAAAATAAGAAAACGTAACCTGAATAAAAACTTCTGTAGTACAGATACACTGTGGAAGCAGTCAGTTTCAAAATGTGCAGATGTCCCGATAAATGCCAAAATGCATAGCCAAACTAAAACTCAAGTTGAATGCTGAAATCTGTGTGAATGACATTGCTCCATTGGCAGTGATTCAAAGCCAAAATCACTGTAAGTAATTTTCTTATAAATTTTATAGGCTCCTAAGGCAATGTCAGGATCATTGAGATGCATTAGACAGTAGCCAGAAGGTATCATTCTAGTACCTAACTATGACCTGAAGAGTCACCTATAATACTCAAATGGCTGTTTGATCTCTGGGGTGCTTTCAAGATAAAAAAAAAATACTGTATTTTCTAATTTAGAAGAAAATCCACACTCTGTATGCAGATGCATCTCTCTGACATTACAGGAAAGAGGTACAGAGGAAAATTATTTGTAGAGACTATATAATGCGAGCCTCGGATCTTTAATAAACATTTTAATACAGATCTTTAATACATTTTAACTAATAAAGGTTTTGTTTATAAAAACATAGTCTTGTATTTTAAGTACCTATAGGACACTTTCAGACCCTATAGAAATAACCAATATTTCTTCTCATAAATGCTGTTATTCAATTTTACCTCTTCTGGGACAGCCCTGATATTAGTGAATCCCTTCCTGAAGACCACAAACACGCGACGAGCTCCACAGCGTAAAGCAGATGTTGCACAGTCAAAAGCAGTGTCTCCTGCCCCAAGTACAATCACAGTTCCATGTATTGATGGCAATGGAGAGCGACAGGCACACATCCCTGAAAGATGACAGGAAAACCCCATTTTCAAGCAGAGAAACCATTTCTGCATGACAGCTCAAAAGGTACTTGTACTCAAAGCAGTGTAAAATTGCATCTTACAGTTTCCAAGCATGGATTGTCACTATCAAATTATTCTGCTTCACTGAAAGAGTTTTATTCCCAATTTTAAGATATGCTCATATACATAATTTCATAGTCAGTACTCTACAGCTGCACCTTCCTATCTGAAAGAATTCAAATGACAACACATTTGTAGGAATGTGGTCCCATCAGGTTTAAATTACCATTAGCATTTTATTCAAAAGGTAAGTTTCTCTCTTATCAGATTTATCATCTTCACATTAAAAAACCCCAACATTTTTTAACATATTATAAAAAATAGTAGTATTTTGGCTACAACATGGTTCTCGGAGGCTATTCTCTACGGCAGCTGAACATGAGGCAGAAAGAATGTCATTATTACACTAATTCCTAGATCTTCCATAGGAAGAAAACGTTTAATATAGAGAAGCTTTCTACAAACAATTTACAAAACGTTACAAGGAGAGAATGACATCATGCATCGTCTACAGCTTGTATGTGAGGATTCAAACACAAGAAATTTTTAAGTAAAACTGAACTCTGTGTGTTCCTTGTAGAAGACTGCACTTTGTCACAAGTTTAAATATAATTAACTGTTGATTGGCAAATTATTGCAACTTAAAAAAATAGCACCATCAACAATATAAAGCTACATTCTCAATGAGCCCATGATCATTTCAGTCAGGAGGCACTAAGCTGGATGTGTAATCACTGAACTGTGACTCAAGTACCCTGCTAGAGTAGCAGCAGATTTTCACGTGCAATTGTAAATAAACACAATTCTCATTCAAGGAAACAATACTCCGTTTATAAGTCTGGATTAAAAGTAAGAAACAACATCCTAATACGCATATTGTCTCTCCATTTGTAATGTTTAATGCATGGCAAATGCTATCATTTCCCCTTCCCACCCCCCACCTGACCCCCCAATATTTACCTAATAGGCTTCTCATTCTAAAAGTGTCTCTAAACTTTTCTCATTTTTAACAAACTTAATCCTTCACAAAAATTGTACATTGAGCCATGGAAAAGGCACAAGTGCAGCAGGGGAATGGCAGCTCAGAGTGCCATTGCAGGACTAGTCTAGAATGAATGTCACAGTAGCCCACTTTGCTCTTGATAACAAGGGTACTCCCAAGGTAAATTCACATCTATGTATTTGCAAGGGGAATCCCTTTTGAAGGAAAGTATACTAACAAGTGGTATTCAGAACTTAATAAGCAGGCAGAATATGTACTTTACTGTGAATAGGTCTACTATGTCTATTATTTAGAGAACTAAGAGTAGGAAAGAAGATAGAGCAGGATATAGGATGTATATATTTTAAAATTCCATGCTTTAGAGCTACAGTTACAGAGAGAATTTAGGAAAAATTAACTGAAGGAGAGCATGTTAATTAACAGACAACATCAAAGACTGTCAGAAAAGGCTAGTTCTTCAAAAGTTCATCCTTTTTTATTGTAGATTGAATAATGATATAAATAATGAAATGACGACATCAAAAAATCATTACATATCTTGGCAAATCAAGAGTGGTACTTTGCCACATTTGAAAAGATGCAGATCACAGGATATAAGTCCTCCTACTGGCAGGTGACTTACACTATGTGAGTGCTGTGTCCACACAGATTTCTATACAGTATTTTTAGTCAAATTCTTACAAGAAGGGATTTTTTTCCAGGATTTTTTTTCCTTTGTTAGTCTACAAATATTTTGCAGTGCAGATATTCAATCTATTTCATTTCTAAACATCTTTCTTCAAAAGAAAAAAAACAAACCCACCCTTTTCTCCCAGCCCATTTGAGCTCAAGAAAACAGACAGAAGTAAGCATTTGATCAAAACAGCAGAGATGGGACAGATGGGATGCCAAATTTCCTGTCCTAAATATTTTGCATAAAATAGGGTAATAAACTGTATTTTTATAAACAGAATAATTTGCTGCAGAAGATACATTCTTCAACACATTGTTTATGGAAAGTCTGCTAACTAAGCAAGTGACCCTATATAATGCTAAGAAAAATTTCTGAATGCTCAGAACAAAATCAGTTCGTAGATAAAAAAGGTATATGTGTGGTTAAATATGTGGTCATATGTACAAGACCACATACTGTACTATGTATATGCCCAGAAAACTGTACACAGAATTTCTTTTTTAATCAATACATTAGGGAATTTAGACCATGAGGGAACGTGGCATAGAAATCACAAGCCCCGTCTCACACTGTCATCTGGGGCTTATGACTTCACTTTCATGGCCACTGAAAGCAGCTATATGCCTTGTGGAGCAAACACAGCTATCTCGGTACTCAAAAAAAAGATGTAGAAGCATAAAACAAGATTGCATTTGTTGCCTATGAAATGAGTGTTGTCTTATTAACTCCCAGCACGTGACTTGGGATCAAAAAATGAGAAGCTTAAAATGAGAAGCTTATGACATAATGCATTTTTTTGAATATAATTCAAAATAACAAATATAAATTATTAGATGTAATGATTTACCATGTGCTTATGTGTTGGTTTTAGTTGTGATAGAGTTGATTTTCCTCACAGTAGCTAGTAGATTAGTAGCTTAGATTTTTATATAAGACTATTTGCTTTACAGACTCTAGGACCCGACCAAACTCCTGAGTTTGAAACACACCAGGAGAAAACCTTGCCCCAGACCTATTCACTGGGAGGTGCTGCTGTGTAACCAGCTGTCCATTTTGATATATCAGTAACTGCTACTGACTTACTGAACATGATTACCACAAAACCAGTATATCACACACCTGGTTTACTTGCCATTGCTACCAAAGGTAGGAAGTCTTTAGATGTGTAGAATCCTTGATCCATTGTCAGTCCTTGGAATATACTGTCTCTGTTTGGTTCTGGTAAACCTAAGAAAGATAGATATTTTAAGGCATATCAGAACTACAAAGGAAATTTCAATGACTAACATATTTCACATTCCATATACATTTTCAAAAACATTCTCAATACAAGCACTTTTACAAATCCTCAGATGTTTCTAAAAGAATGTCACAAATGACTAGTTTTCTGTCTGTAGCTTACATAACTGATAATCTTTTAATAGTACTGGCACTTGAAAATAAGGTTGTTGGATAACCCATGTACTCATATAACTCATACCAAAACAACTGCAGAGGAAAGGGTTTGAGAGAACAGAATATACAGGATGCAAAAGCAGGGAGCTACTGGGGAACAGAAGACTCTTGTAAGCTTTTCTTGTACTGCTTTACCTGCATGTAGCTTACTGCTGTGAAATGGTTTTATTCCCTTTGATTTGAGGTATTTTTCAATACAACTAGTCTGGAGATAATACAAATGAAGCAATAATAAACAGCTTAACTGATGAGGAGAGGAGGACAAATGGCAATTCTGTACGATCTGTCTTATCTACAAGTATTTGTATGCCATCATTTTTTACCATTTTTTTTTAAAAAACTCTCAAGTCCTTATTGGCTGACATTTATTTACAGTTATTAATAGCACACATTTATAAAGAGAAGCCATATTATACAGGAATACACTTCACAACCAATAATAGCAACAAATACCTTTCAATTAAAAGCAGCAATAAGCATCTTCCAGTTATCAAAGAGTAACTTCTCATCGCTGTGCAAACATTTGACCAGCACAAAACAACCAGCCTAGCTGACACAGAAGTTAAAACATTTTTTTCATGCAAATGCAGTATCTATTAGGGTATTTTCAACAGGCCTTGACTTTCGTATTTTTATCTAAATAATATTAGAGTATGCTAATTAATAATTACCATAATTACCAATTACCATGGTTTGCTCCATACCAAAATGGAGCAAACGCCAACAATTTTTCTAAAAAAAACACAATATAAATGAGAAGTCCTCAGAGGAAGCAGGCAGAATTGGAGCATGCAAAGCAATCTATGTTCCCTCCATTCTCAGGCATGGATGGCAGCAGACTAATCTTTCTTCTCTTTGAGACATACTGGTTTGGACAACCATAAGAACACCATGCTAGTATCAACAATAAAGCAGGATTGTACTTTGAGGAGTGCTGTTCCATGAAGGGAAGGTTTAGACTTTTTATATTATTGAGGCAGCAAAAATCTGTCTCATTACAGCGTAAGATCAGGTCTCAGTCATAATTCAGGAATTTTTCATCAGTCACCTGATATAAGAGAAGTTTCTTAACCCCTGAATGAAGTTACTGTAAAACAAAACTAAAAATATACTTTTTTCTTCTTAAGTTACAGAGCAGAAAATGAAAACATGCTCTCAGTGAATTCAGCAGTCTTGCAAGTCAAAAAGCAAATTAAAACAAATTCTGAAATTTTTGCATTCAAATGTCTCATGCTATTAAGCACTTTCTTGATCTCTGTTTATGAAAAAAATCATGACTCAGTTGTTGAACATCCAGCTTTCAAAACACTGTTGATCTATAGTTGAATACTGAGAAAAATAATGTTCGAAAATAATAGCACGTACTGAGCTTCAAGATCTTTGAATGCTGTACTTCCTGGGTAGAATGGAATATCAGCTAAGGAAGAATGAATAATGGATATATCTTAAAAGGCTCCCAGAAATACTTAGTGCTATTGAAAGTACAATACGTAAAATGCATTAAAAGAAATTTTTAAAACTGCATAGTGACTACCTACAGACACAGGACTGTCACTGTGCCACTGTTTCTATTGAGGTATCCATAAACCATCCCAGAGGCCTCAGTTTACTCCTGGGAGAAACACTTTTGTCATCACTGAGAAGCACAGCCTATCTTAAAGATAATTTCCTTTCTACCCAACATCTTTCCCCATTCAAAAACAAGGAGAAACCCTCATAATCACTTTTATTTCCACTTGGTTTTGCTGCTGTTATCCCCTCCCAATGAAATTATTCTGTCTCTAACATCATCAGTATTTTGGCTCCCACAGGCTGAAGGAAGACTAGAATTAAGGGAACATCGTAATGTAAATGGTTCAGGTACATCACGAGTTCAGTGTCACTGAAATCAAAGACGTTGGATTAAGAACACATTGGATCCACCAACATTTAGCTTGGCTGACATGACTAAAAAAAAGCCTAAGAGGTAGTCAGTATACATGGCATTTTCTGTTATTTATTTCATTATTTTCATTTTGCTGAAAACTCATTGAAAACCAATTCTGCAATATTTTCATTTGAAGGAAATACAGGGGATTTTTCTCTTACACCTATAAACACCCGGCACAGTTTCAAGCTCTTTGCTAAGCATCTGCTGGAGGTTGTACTGGATTTTAACATCTCTTTGTTGTTTAGTATTTGCCATTATAATGATTGCATTTAATTTTTGTTAAAATGGAGAGACTGAATACTTCTTAAAGCCACTAGGCTATCTAAGAAAGAGACAGAGGCAAATAAACAGAGAAAGATATCAAGAACTGATAAGATCCACTTTAGAGAGACACCATTTCATCATAAACAGCCAACCTACAGAATCATGCTTTACAGGCAGTTCAAATATTGATAAATAGTCAACAGCCTCTCAGGAGAAAGAACATTTGATGAAAAAACAGCTATAGACGAAAAAAGCATTTTCAAGCAAACTGTTTTAGAGAAGAAATAAAATTTTTAAAACCCCAGTCATCTACAAAAGACACAACTGAGGTCAAAATAATGAACCAAGAGAAATATCCTCTGAAGATAAATCAGAGCCATCCTTTAGCAAAAGGGAATTTGCACACTAGTACAAAACAGCCAGGAGCCACCCAAGAAAAAAAATGTTAGAAAAACAGGAGGGCTTTCTCCTAGGTCTTAGGCTGAAGCCAATGGTAGTCAGATCTCTGGTCTCCAACTCCATCTGCAAGCCATCTAAAAGGCTTTTTTATTTATTACTTGGTATTTATTACTTGGTATTTCTTGTCCCGAAACAATCACTCTCCTAGGTCTTTTGTCTTTAAATAACCTATATAAAAATCTAGTGATAACATATTTCACCTTTATTGAAGAGCAACTCTTCTGAAGGGCAACCAGGAGGAGACAGCCTAGAGTGACAATTCCACCCATTTTGTTCAGATGGATTCTGCATACCCCTGTGCAAGCAGATATGCCTGCCACCCCCCCACCTCCCCCCGCAGCCAAAGCCCTAGTCTTCCTGAAGCCTCACTCCATTTACCTGCTGATGCCAGGAAACGAGTTTTTGAAGCAACTGATACCCAAACAGCACAACGAAACTTCAGTCTGTGGAAAATGGCATTTACTAAGAATAGTGAAAGTAGAAGCATCATGAAAATAACATCTTGCATAACAGATCTAGTTCAGTTTAGCAAAAGCTAATGTAGGCAGTCCCAACCTGGGTCAGGAACAGTGTAGAAAGCAATTCATCTCTATTCCTGACCCTCTGCTTTGCTAGGCCCTGCCTTTTGTCTCCAGATGCTTCACCTATCTCTCAGTAAGCACCTCTCTCTTAGCATGAAACCCTCTTTCCTTCTTTCCTCCATTTCATCCCTACAACCCCTTCTCCAGTGGGCTATACCTCAGCATCAGTGTCTTTCCCATGTCTGACATACCATATACCTTCCAAAGTCATTAGCTGCTATAACAGTGGCATTGGAAACCACCTCCCATTTTTATAACCTTTATAGATATATATACACATACACACGCACATATATATTAGAAAAATCAGTATTTGCTTCCTATCAAGACCTTGTTCTTTGTTCTCACGATACTGATGTATCTTAATTTTCTTAACTGGCAGTGCCAAGTCCATCATCTCCATTTAGAGGCACAGAATTTAGATCCTCTCACAATCCCCTGGTCCAGATGAAATAAGAATCGTTAAACAGTTAGAGTCAATTTGCAGATATACAAGGCAATATACAAGTGATGCATGCACGATGTCAGGGACTGGCATGCAGAGCAACGCACCTAATCCACTTGGTTGCTGCACCAAGTAAATGAAGGCATGTCAACACATCAATCAGCTAAGACTGAAAAGGAAATAAATAGTGCTGCTACTACTTTAACTATTAGCCTGGTCTGGAAAGGAAAACTAGAGTGGGAGTAGAGGTACAGCATGTCTGTCTTTCCTATTTTGACCAAATATGCCTTCTGAACCTGAACTCATTGTTTGGATTACGTAAACCTGACATGTTTGGGCAGATTTGCAATTCCAAATTAAATTCTCAGCCAGTCTTAGTAAGTGACATACAAAATAAGCCCTCTTCCTTAGTAAGGGTCAAATGTAGTTTTCATTGGCAGCTGACTGAAAACAAGTCTTCAGACAAAAAAATTTGGAGCTGAAGCTGAAGTATAAATATACAGTAGCCTACAGGGACAGAACTTACTAGAACATCATGAGGTTCTCTGGTTTTCTTCATGTCAAACACCGAAAGGCCTGCTTTGCTTAATTTTTAATTGTGATACCACCACATTTTGGAAAAACTTGAGCTGGACCAGGTAAACAAACAACAAGCTGGGATCTTTCAGGCAATATTCTCTCTCTTTGGATTCTCAGCTATTGCTGTCCTGATGGCAGAGAGTTTTCCAGATAAGAACTGGCTGAATTATTTTGACCAATGCCTCATTTCCAAGTAAAAATGTAAATGCAAGCTGGTGAATGTAATCTGTATTTGAATACACTAAGAACATTTTTTTTAAAAGCCAAGACACTTTATTTTGACATTTTTGTAGTAAACCTTTGAGTTTTGTTTCAAAATGACAATACATTTATAAATTTACTCAAATTGAATTAAAAAGAAAACAAAGAAAATAGGATTCACTGGCTATGTACATCCCTTTTACTACCTTTTAAAATCAGCAAACCAAAACCAACCTCCAATTCCATCAATTTATGGGAATTTTTTTTGAGATGTTCTCATGTTTTACAAATACAGAGCATTAGGTAAAAATTT